GCATTTACTATGCACTAGATAACTGTTCTAAGTGCTTTACAATTATTTAAAACCCTACAAGGTAGTCACTGTTATTAACTTTGTTTTACAACAAGGAGGTTTAATAACTTGCTCAGGATCAGTCTCAGAGTAAATGGGATTGAAATCCAGGTGATCTAATTCTAGTGTCTGCACTTTTAATAGTAGAAAGAAGATAACTTCAAGTATTTATTAAATTCTATTTTTTAGACATCATACTTAATTGCTTTTATTCACATAGAAGCTGTGATCATCTTTCAGGGACATTTTAGAAAGAATTATCTCTTTGGGTAGAAATTATATTAGGATGTCTTGAATCCCATGGTTCTCTTATTGTTATACAGTGATGGATGGAAGTGGGGGGAAAAGCCAGGAACAAGATGTCTGACCTGAGGCTTTTTTAATTGATCAGAATTTTTATCAGAAAGGAGATGGCGAGTGTCTATGATAAGTACTATAGGAATTCAGTTTATTAAGACTTCAGAACGTAGTCATAAGTTATATATAATGTAAAAGGATGAACCAAAAATAACTTTTGAGATGGTGAATGGAAGCCTTAGAAAAATGGAGAAATCAAAGTTTCATGGAAATATGACAATACTTTGGAAATGTATATTTCAAGTATTGACAAGATATGTTAGGGTAAGCAGATGACTTTTAGTAAACTGAACATATGGAACTGGTGCTTGATACGTGAAGGTAGTTGCTTTAAACTCAATAAACAATAACCAAAATAGCAAATGCATAAGGGAGGAAAGAGCAGTCCAACCCAGACTTAAACTTCAAGTGGCCATAAATTGATGGGGAGGAAGACGAAAAGGATTCCACAATCTAAATTAAGAATTTGCCAAGCTTTGAGGTACAGAGGGAGTCATAGAAGCCAAATGTAAACCAATTAGAGTGATGGAGGTATGGTCAGCAATGCCTCCTCTAAGAATTTCTTATGAAAAAATCTCAGGTGAGACCACTGAACTTGACAAGGGAAAAGTCATTGCTCTTAGGACATGGTTTCTGGCCAATAAGAAGAATGCAAGTTTTACTGCAAAGGAACAAATAAAATGGAAAAGAAAGGGAGAATAGCTGTGAAGTTGAGCTATAGTTATAGAAGTTTGTTTGTGAAGGAAGTATTTGGAAAGGGAAATGAGGCTTAGTGAAAAATGTAGATTAAAAGAGACTTATACATGTTTTAAGGTAAAGGAATAGGCTGATGTCTAGCTATCTAGAACATTTTAAATAAGAAAGTCTTTATTATTATATCAGCAGTGAGTCTAGTTTCCCATAAAAATAAGTTGTGTTTCTATAGATGGATTTCAGGAGAATAAATCAGTTGTACATCCTATGTTAGTATTATCTCATTTAGATTAAGACCCTGACTCCTTCTTTGCAGTGGCCTAAAGTCTCCTCCTGATCTGCCTCCTACTTGTATTCTGCTACTCTTTTTCTTAATGCCTTTGGTGGAACCACAGAGGTCTTCTGGCTATTTCTCAACCATGCCAGGACTGTTCCCTATTTAAGGGCCTTTGCATTTGCTGTTCTCTTTGCCTTTAACATGCTTTCCCTACATACCTGCATAGCTATCTCTTCCTTCGTTTAGCTCTTGACTCAGATGTGCCTTTCAGTGAGGCCCTCTCTGCTTTTCCTATTTCTAACTGAAATACCTTATTTACTACCTCTGTTATCCCCAATTTGTTCCCTTCCTATGCCTCTTTCTTGTTTTATTGTTTTTCATAGTACTTAACTCCACATAGCAAATTATAGATTTCATTTATCAATTTTGCTTTTTGTCTTCTCCTACTAGAATTTAAACTCTGTGAGTTCAAGAATTTTCCTAGCTCTAAAACAATGCCTGATACTTAATAGGCACTTAGTAACTGTTGCATGAATGAACCAGTGTAATATTCTTTGTGGAAACTGATATAAAAATATTCTTCTTCATCATCAACATCATTATTAGTAAGCATTTTGGATGCTATATATACAATTCTGCTGCTGCTAAGTCGCTTCATTTGTGTCCGACTCTGTGTGACCCCATAGATGGCAGCCCACCAGGCTCCTCTGTCCTTGGGATTCTCCAGGCAAGAATACTGGAGTGGGTTGCCATTTCCTTCTCCAATATCTAGAATTAGGCTTCATATATCCTATTATTCAGGAGTTGGCAGACTTTTTCTGTTAAGCATCAGATATAAATACTTTTTGGAACCATATGGTTTCATCACAGCTACTCCACCCTGTTACTATAATGCAAAAGTAGGCGTAGACAATCCCTGTATGAGTATGATTGTATTCCAATAAGAGTCCATGTGTGGACACTGAAATCTGGATTTTGCATAATTTTCAAATGTCATAAAATATTATTTTCTTTTGATTTTTCCCCCAACTGCTAAAAAATGTAAAAATTATTTATAGCTCTCAGGCCATAAAAAACAAAAAACAAAAAAACAAGACTGACAAGCTGTAGTTGTCACCTCTATTTTTACTGGCTTCTTAAACATATCTTAGTTGAAACATTTTTCCTTTAGTGGTAGGAAGCAACAATGTAGATTAAACCTTAGTAACAGATAATTCAGGAATACTTTTGTTTGGCTCCAGAATCTTCCCTGGTGGCTCACATGGTAAAGAGTCTACCTGCAGTGTGGGAGACCTGGGTTCAATTCCTGGGTCAGGAAGATCCCCTGGAGGAGGAAATGGCAACCCACTCCAGTATTCTTGCCTGGAAAATCCCATGGACAGAGGAGCCTGGCAGGCTACAGTCCATGGGGTCGCAAAGAGTTGGACATGACTGAGTGACTTCAGTTTACTTTAGAATCTTCCATATTGCTTCATTTTTGTTTTCCTGGGAACCTTATTCTTTCATTTTGTTTATGAAGCTAATATTTAAGTGAATTTGTGTTCTCTGAGCAGATTCCACATGATAGTGTTGGGGAGGTGGTGATGATGGTAGCAAAGCTTGGGCAAAGCCCACCCAGGCTTCAAAGTTTGTCATTATTTATAAGGTAAATAATTCCCATATGGGAGAATCAGGAGTTGTCAGCCAAGCTTAATGCCCAGAGGACTGTTACTGTTAATGAGAATTGTGTTGCAGTTTTAACATCATCCATAACAGATTTCTTGAATAAGTTGCAAATGCTTTTAATAATATGGGTAATTTTAGCTATACTACATTGGCAATTTTTGCTGCTTTACTTAAAAAACAATTAGAAAATAACCTATTCTATTATAAAATCAAGCTGTGATTTGAATAAAGCATGATATTTTCCTCAGTAAGTACAAAGAGAGAAAAAAAGGTTTTTCATTTTAAAACTTTTAAAAATATTTATAAAGTTTTTCACATACTTTGTTCAATTCTAACAAGAGCCTCATGATGGAAGTAGCTTTATTAACTATTTAAAATGTGAAAGAGCTGATAGTGAAGTTAAGTAATTTATTCAGGGTCATCCCACTCCAGATAGGCCTTCTGACGACATGAGGGGGACACTCCTCATTGGAAGCGTCAGCCAGCCTTTGGCTTCAGTGCTGTGCCCTCTCCTCACCGCCTCTCATTCTCTAGCTTACCTGTTCACAAAGATGCTCAGAGCTCTAGCTGCTCCTGGTTCTGCTGTGCTTACTATACAGAGCTCTGAGAGAAGAGGAGGAGGCTGGGGCTGGCTCCATTACTGCCACTGAAGCTACTTACTAGTTTTGTTTCCTCTTCCATTCTGTCTTAGTCCCCAGATATCTGGTCCTCCTTCTTTCCTCAAAACTATGACCTCTAAAGACCTTATGTGGTTAGCCAATGGCTACTAAGCTTTATGGACAGGTTGGCAAAGACAAGAAGGAATGAAACAGAACCCCAGGGCTTAAAGTCTGGGTGGTTGGGAGAGTCAAGACACAGTGGCTGAGCTTCAGAGGATGCAATAGGGGCTGGTTTTGAGGGGGAGAATTTGGTTTGGTTTAAATGTATTATTTTCAAGGTAATGGTGGAACAGCCTTGTAGTTAGTTTTCTATCCTCCAAAAAATCAAATGGCGAAATAGGTTGTACCAGGTATCTGGGGCAACAGCCAAATGGCAAGATTTATAGTCAGAGTCAAAGACTTTGTTCCTTTTAAATGCTTCTTAGAGATCCTGTTTAAACAACCTCTTCATTATGAAAATAGCGACTTTCTATGCATTTTTTATGGTGTCTGGAGAAAATTGTTATAAACACTACACACATTTTGGGATGGTTGTGCATCTTACGAATCAGTGGTGGCATATAAAAAGATTTCTCAACATAATATGTGGGAAATGTTGTAGACTGTTGTTCTTGAATTGTTTTCCCTTCTTCACTTTGGTGTTTGTATTGTACCTTACATATTTTTAATGTTATTTTGATGTTATGCTGCGCTTTTTTGGTTAGGAAAGTGGCTTGCTACCAGTATCTTTGCAGATTGAAGTTTCTGAAAAGTCTCTTTGAATTCTTCCCCATTCCTGTACCTCCTTTTCCCTTGTCACAGTCTCAACCCCTTGAACATGATCCAGAAATCTAGATATAGGCCATCTCAGTGGAAATAAGAAAAACTTATTATTCCTCAGTGCTTAATTGAAGCCACCTGATATTTAACAGATTTTAAATTTGAGAGGGTAAGGGGATCAGTCCATGCATTATCATGTGTGTCTTGATTCTGTCAATTGACTTAGTCAAAAGGAGAAAGTTACTGAATTTGAAGACAAGTCTCCACCATGCTGCACAGAACAGCGCTGTTACAGCACACCAGCCTGCACCTACATGAAAAAAGCCATGGTTGTGTTTTGCCTCTGAATAAGGATCATGGTTAAAAAGACATGAGAGTATGTGGCTAAGTACTCTAAACACTTCCCCTAAAGTGAGACAGTCTTATAGATTGTGCCTTCAGGTTTCTCAATTCACAATCTCGTATTTTCTTGAGTAAATTGCATTATCTTGTAAGTTTGTGGACTTACAAGAAGTCAAATGTTTTCACGGACTCCTCTCTTTTCCATATAGATGTCCAGAGGGCTTCCTGGGAGAATACTGTCAACATCGAGACCCCTGTGAGAAGAATCGCTGCCAGAATGGTGGGACGTGTGTGGCCCAGGCTATGTTGGGGAAAGCTGCGTGCCGATGTGCCCTGGGCTTCACGGGCGAGGACTGCCAGTACTCCACTACTCACCCCTGCTTCGTGTCTCAGCCCTGCCTGAACGGAGGCACCTGCCACGTGCTTGGCCGGGACACCTATGAGTGCACCTGCCAAGTCGGCTTTACAGGTAACAAGTGGGACTCAGGCCCATACTTTCCTATTCTCAGCAGGTTCTTCCATTTAGTGCCTTTCAGATACTCTCATCTGGTTCTTTAGGGTCCCCCTCTATAGTACATTTTCAGCATTATGGGAAGGAACTGGAATGTTCCAGTCAACTATCCTTAACTTCCGTTTGAAAGGGAGAAAGAGAAAGCAAAAGGGTCAAATGCTCGGCAGTGGTTGACTGCCTGAAGTGTATATATCAGGACTGGGGATCATAATCACTTCCCTGTCACTGGAAGAAAAGTTGTTCATGTTATTGATAACTTATTCCTTAAAAACTTCTCTCCCCAGACATTCAGGGCACTGGCTTTTCTGGTTTTCTAAACCGATTGTTTCTTTTGTTTCTCCATTGCCTTGTCCTTGTCCTTATGCATTTAATTTTCGTGTTCTTTGGAACTCTGTTTTGAGCCCTCTTTTGAGCCATATGACAGCTTTCCCCAGGGAATCTCACTATCTCCAGTTTCTTTAGCTGTCATCATCTTCATCCCCTGCTGATGACTCTCACGATCATCCTTTTTGCTTCACACGATCACTGACATTCAGTCTCGTATTTCTAACTATCTATTGCATATTATCTTTGGAAATTCAACAGGTACCTGAAACTCAACATGTTGATACAGATAGTGACACCAGTGTACCCTCCAAATACCCCAAGCTAGAAACTCCCTCTCATTTATCTGTACCCCACTTGGACTCAGGCATGCGTTTTAATCTGAATTACTTCTCACCCGGCTGCTGCCCTCCATTTCCTCTTCTGCTCCGCAGCGACGTCCGTGTCCTTTCTCACCCGGACTCCTGCAGTTGTTTCCTCATTGGTTTCCTCACCTTCACTTTCTCCTCATCTTGTTTACCTGTCACATTGCCACATCTTTAATTATACATGCAAATCTTCTCACAAATTCACCTGCTTACCATGCCTAGTGACTTTTCATCATCTGCAGAGTAAACTGCAGACTCTTTTACTTGGCTTTCACAACCCTTCACAGTCTAGGCCTTGCGTCTTTTTATAGCCTCACCTTCCCACAAGCATCTCGCTTTAGTGACGCAAGCATTCTCATCATTTCCTGAAAATGTCATACTTCCTGTTGCCTCCATGCTATTGCATACCCCTTTGCTGGAATGCCTTTTTCTACATTTGGAAGTTGCCTAATGTTATTGTAACCTCTCAGTGACCCTCTCATGATTCCTTTACACAGTTAGTCTCTGTGTTCTATTATTTCATGTGTCATAGTTTATCGTAATTAATTTTTACATGTCTCTCATCTGACTGTATTATGGGTTCTTCAAAGGTGGGTCTGAGCTTTATTCAAAATGAACCATAAGTGTTTATTAACTTAGTTGTGAAAAGGAGAACTATTCACTGTTTTGTCCTCCGGTATATCAACAATTCTGTAAATCTAATTAGAAAATGAAAAACACACTCAGAAAATTAGACTGGATCATTCAGGTTGGAATGCTTGTTCTATTGGTTTTTCATTAAAAGGTGTTGTTACAGTTATATCTCCATCATGACTATGATAGCATTGATAGTGTGAGTCACTGAAGAGATTTGGTGGTTGAGAGAATAATTTTTCCTGATTGTCAGTTTCAAGTTGTTTTGCTCCACAAGGCAGGGAGGGCATATCCACTTAAAACATTTTAATCCTGACTAGTGGAAATGGCAGTGATACCTTCTTCATAATTAAAATGTTACTCTGAAATAACCCTCATATTAAAGCAGATTCCTTGCTATTAAAAAGATCTCTTCTTGGGGGTCCTCAGGGTGCTAATCATCTTTAGACATCTGCCATTTTCATCTACCACTTTAAGAACAACCACAGGTCAAGCTCGCTCTTTTAGTTTTGGGATAACTCACTACCTTACCTCATCAGACCTTATGAGCTCACCTCACTCATAGATGAAAAAAACAGAGGCAGAAGGTTAGTGCTCGTACAAAACATATATGGGAAACCAAGGTCAGCAACCTTTTTGTTTCAGTTGTAGGCAAATACTCTAATATACACTGTTGGCAGAAGTAACCATTTTTATCTGTTATCCACTGTAGGTAAGTACTCTCAATAGAATGAAGGAAAATAGGGAGAAAAACTAAGGTTCCTTCATTCTGTCTTCCCTGAGGTATAGATGCTGTACCTAGATTTTTTTTCCACCTTCTCCCTTTGATTTGATATTCCTGGTAGACAGAGCACGCTTTTATGAACTCATGTGTTACCTCTCTCCCCCTTTTAGAGAATCTGTCACGACTCTTACTTGCTCTTCTATGGGGAGGTGGGGTCAAAGATTTGGATGTTTACCTAGATAACCAATTGGAGTATTAACACATTCAGGAGATTCTCAGATCTTTAGTTTTGAAAAAACTCGAACTCATGAAAATAGAAAGCTGCGTGAATATCGAATTTACTAGTAGCATAGGAGTATTTTTTTCCCCTCTCTCTGTCTACCTCAGAGAATCTGTTTTGATTCCTTGAGATCAAATACTGTCTTCCTGATTCTTTCTAGCGCTTTCCTACCTGAGACAGTCCATAAGAATTACCTTTCTAGACCTTTATTCTTATGACAGCTTCTAGTTTTTTTCATGTTTAAGAAGCCAGAGATTCTTAATCTTCTTCAAACACATCCAGCACTATTTTTGTCAAGACCACAATTAGCAAAATGTTTCCCAGAATACGTGTGCATGTGTGTTGTGTTTAAGGGAAGTAGAAGTCATATTGACTTGTTTTTATCATCTAAGAGGTTTGTTTAGCCACAGTGTATTGTGGAAGACAGCAGTACGCTTTATTTTCATTCACAAGACATGATTTGAGAGCCTACTCTAGGGATCGGAGCCCTGCTAGTGTGACAGGTGACATAATAAAAGGAAACAGCAAACCTGGGGTATGTGTTTGCATGTGTAGGGGTGTGTATGTGAGGGAAAGAGAGGGGGTGGGGGTTTGGGTACCCGCGTGGAGCATTAAGGATGACTTTGTGGCTGTGGTGACTTAAGAGTAGAATTGTCAAACAGTGGCACCCATTGGGTGAACAACAAGGAAGACAGCGGAATATCTTAGGGAGCCATCTCCAAACAGAGGAGTGTCTTAGGGAGAAACAAGGAGGTGAGCCACGAGATGGATCCAGACCCTTCTGTGCCGCAGGGGTTCTTGTGGGCTTCCTGTGATCCACCTACAGTCACTCCTGTGCTCCGCCGAGTCTTCATGTCTCAGCTAAGGGCCCTGGAGAGTGCTCCCGTCGGATGAACTCGGGGAGGCTCTGATGATGGCCTCCTGTACAGTTCAGAGAGCTTAGGGATTCTCCACGCAGTGGCTGCCTTGCATCACCTGTTGGGTGGGAGATGTGGGGTGGGATGGGGCTGACACCCATTTCTGCGGGCAGTGCTTACGTCTGTTATCTTTCCTGTAGGTAAACTGTGCCAGTGGACTGATGCCTGCCTGTCCCACCCCTGTGCAAATGGAAGTACCTGCACCACTGTGGCCAACCAGTTCTCCTGCACGTGCCTCGCAGGCTTCACGGGGCAGAAATGTGAGACTGACATCAATGAGTGTGACGTTCCAGGGCGGTGCCAGCACGGGGGCACCTGCCTCAACCTCCCGGGCTCCTATCAGTGCCAGTGCCCCCAGGGCTTCACGGGCCGGCACTGCGACAGTCCCTACGTGCCGTGTGCGCCCTCCCCCTGTGTTAACGGGGGCACCTGCCGCCAGACCGGCGACTTTACCTTCGAGTGCAGCTGCCTTCCAGGTGAGGAGTGCCCCTAGTGTCCTGGGTCGGGGGATGCACCTCCAGTGGGAAGGGAGGGGGTGGGGTGTGGTTCAGTGTTCCTTGAGGAGGTATCCTTCCCAGCAGGGAAAAGGGGAAGTGAGAATGTTGTGTGGGGTGGTTTGCTGGTGGGAGAGGAGTTTTATGGGCCCAGTGTGGTCCATAAACTGAGCAGGGGGTAATTTAACATGTCAGAGTTTATGATGATGAGTGACTTGGAAATTGTTTATTGTCCTTTTTGGAGGAACAGTGAGAAATAAGAGAAACGGAGCTCTGGGAAAGGATTGATAAGTCTATAGAATGGAAAGGAACATAAGGAGAATTAGACATTGACAAATTTATATGTGTGATTAATAAAATGCTTTAAACTGAGTTGATAGTAATAATAGATGATCAACTTTCTTATATGCTTTTACCTCTGATGGAATAATGGATTATTTTACTAGTTACCTGGTTGCACCCCCCTACTCTTTTATAATTTTCCTTGAAATTCTGGTCTTTAGAACCCTCTCTGTGTAGCCTCTCTGACTTTGGGGTCACCCTACCCAGACTTGAAGCTGGAGACTTTTACAGCTGGTGTGGTGGTAGTGCTCTGTTAATGAGTGAGCACTTTTTGATGAGCGCTGATAGATTATGTATGGCACAACGACACATAACCCAAGATAGAAGCAAAAGAGGAGCAATGTGTGGGAGCTTGGGGCCCATTGTTCCATAGGATGGAAAAAGGAGCAAGGCTGGCCAGTTCATTAAACTCCTTATAAAACTGATGAGGAGGCCGAAAACCGAGAATTTTGATTGAGAACAGAGCCCAAGTGGCTGGAGCAGATGAATTACTAAGCAACAAAGATTCTGTTTTTATACAAATATCCTTAGTGCAAAAACAAAAGAAGGAAAAACCGTAGGGGGGAATAACGTGCTGAGTAAGCAAAATTGCCTCAAAAAGCTGTTGTGGCCACTCTTTTGGAGTAGGAATCTTAGATTCTGGTGTTGTGGATATGGGTCACATGTAATGGGATCGTGTGTTTTCTCTTTTGGGGATTAAAGGCCATACGTTGGTCTTCAGGATAAAAGCAAATGGTAATTTATTCATTTCATTCAGTTAAAATTTTTTGGCTGCCAGCTATGTTCTAGGCACCATCCTATGTACTTGGAATACACAATACAGGACACTGCCACATAATAAAAAAGATACCACTTAACCATAAGCCACAAAAACAAGTTGTTTAATTGCCTTTCTTTCAGTTTCTCTTTCGGTGAAGAATAGATAATTAATGCTGTCATTTTAGACACTAAATATTTATTTACCTAATATTATTGTCATCCACATTATCTTGTAGAAGGAATAACTAAAAGGTATTTTTCTTCACTCCTGCTTTTGTTTGCATTTTAAGGGTTAAAAGAAGGAAACAGAAATGTAAACAATTTAATTTTGTGAATATTCTAATAGTCTGGTATTCTAATAGCCTAAGTGGCCAGTAATTGAGGTTAGTGCAATTTATTGCTGACCACTAAATGTGTCTTTTAGTTTCAAGAAAATTAGTTTTAATAGTTGCCTAGGACAGGAGGTTGATTTGGCAGCAAAGTACTAACGGGAAGTTAGAGAAGTCAATAAAGGAAGTTTTTAGCTGGGAGAGAGTGATTATTCACTCCCATAGCCTCTGCATTGTTATCCATTAGCCACGATAAGAACCTTAGGGAATTCTGAGAGTGTGTCCAGGAAAGGATCTGTCAAACCAGAATAGTATCTCCTCCTTGAGAAAGGAAATAACCAGGGATTCCACAACTCGAGGCTGCCAGGGCTGGTGGGATGGAGTAAGGACGTCTTGGCTGTCTCTTACACTCTGCTTACAGTTTAAAGCAAGACTTTCTTTTTTCTTTAATATACTGATGAAGTGTGTGTATGTGTGTGTGTTTGGGATTGGGATGGGGGTGCAAGGCTGGGGGCAGAAGATTTGGCAAAGAGCAAACTAACATTTATTTAATGCCTTTTATAAGTCAGGCACTGTGCCAGGTACTTCTGCAGCCATTAGCTCTATTACACAAAATCCTTGGGGATAAGTAGTATTGTTCAAGTTTTCCCAGGTGAAGCAACTCAAGTTTTGAGATGTGAAGCAATTTACCCAAAGTTGTACAGATGACATGTGGTTAGGCCGAGTCCTGAAATCCAGGCAGGTTATCTCCAATTGTTAACCACTCGTCTGCCCCTGAGGGCGCTTTGGAATGTCTGAGACTTTTTGTTAAATGTTTAGGGATGTATGGGTTAAAAAAAGTAGGTTCATGTTAAAAGAAAAAGGAGATACTTCTAATTATGATTGATAGTATTTGTTACCAGCCTGTGTATGGGCTTCCCAGGTAGCACAGTAGTACAGAATTTGCCTGCTGATGAAGAAGACGCAAGAGATGCAGGTTTGATCCCCTGGAGTAGGAAATGGCAACCTGCTGCAGCATTCTTGCCTGGAAAATTCCATGGACAGAGGAGCCTAGGGGGCTACAGTCCATGGGGTTGCAAAGAGTCAGACACGACTTGAGTGACTGAGCACATGCCTACAGGCTGTGTATGGCATCATGCAGATACCTAAAAATAGTAAAGTAGGCTAGTTGCTGCCTTTCAGGGTCCCATGATCTGAAACAGATGATGTCAGCTTGGATAATATATAGAAGGAAATTTTAAAAATAATTAAAAACAATAGATGATGCAATAACACTGTGAATAAATATACATTTATACAATGTGTAAGATTTTATGCTCATTGGTTTTTATGTCCCAGGTGGAGTTTGCAAAGCATTAACTTTATTTCCACATAGGGAAATAATGTCTGGAGATGATTTTCTTTTACAGAGTCCTTTTTATAATGCAATACCATTCTCCTGTCCCTCCTGCATTGCCCCCAACACTAGTCAAGAGACTAAAATATTACTTAAAATAGCAATCACTATCTCAGTGTAAATAGCATCCTTACTTGAAGAGAATCATTATTTCCATTCTAAAGATGGGGAAACCAAGCAAGTGACAGGTGAAGTCACTTTTGTCCAGGTTCTGCAATTCTCAGGTGGCTGCTTCCCACCACATTTCAAATCTTGGCAGTTTTAACGGAGGTCTGCCCTGATCACCCTACTTCAGATTGTAACCTTTCCCTTCCTCCTTCATCTCTGACCTTGGTCTACCTTTTCTTTTCTTTTTTGGTAACGCTTGTCATCATCTTACTGTATAATTTTCACTATATAATTTACCTCCTTATGACTATTGTTTATTGTCAGTCTTTCCAGATTCTTCTGCCTCTTCTCCTCTCCAGGGTAAAAGCTAGGATCTCTGTTTTTGTTTGGTGATGTATCCCAAGCACATGGAAACCGTGACAGGTATATAATAGGCACACACCTACTGACTTTACAGGCTGAGTTTAGTATAGTACGGTAGTACTGAGAGCATAACTTTGGTCTTATTTTCTTCCTGGTAACATACCTGTTAGACTTAGTCAAGCTTCTCCTTCTGTACTGGTTTACACTAGTACTGAGTAAGAAGAATTGGAATTCTTTTCAACTCTAAAACTCAGTGAACCCCACATAAGTTAGTGATTATATTTGAATGGTTATGATATAGTTCTTTTCCTGCAAAGGGCACTATAGTTACTGAGATGATTTTAGTATTAAGATTGATGGGGCGATTAAAACTGTAAATATGTCTCATCCTGGGTAATAAAGAAAGAAATGTTTCTCAATAGAGGGAAGAAAAAAGGAATATATTTAAGAGAGAGCTGATAGAATGAAACCAAGGAACTGTATTCCATCTTCTTCTTGGTTCAGCAACTGTTAATAACCCAGATCCTTCATAAACTACCACTAGGTAAAGTTTTTAGCAGAAACTGTAAGGAGGAGTACTCAGCTAGAATACTTTTAGCTAAAGAACAAAATGGACGATACATTCTTGAATCACTGACTCCCAATATTTTGAGATTTATGAGTTAAGTTGGTTGTATGTCTGTGGATATATTAAGAAGCAGCCATGTGCTGTTTGCATCTCCTGGCTTTGCCTGCGAGTTCACAGGTGGACTGGACAATCCCTGATGGACTTTCCCTTTTTCTTTCTCTCCTGCACCTCCTTATTCCTTTATGATTTTTAAACTTCATGAAAAGCTGCCCAGTCTGTTCTCTCCAAACAAAGAAGGTTTATCCTTTGTAAATCACCCCTATACTTTACAGGCTTGATTATATGTAATATCCCTGTATCATTAAAATAAAGCTTAGCCACATTCTATGGCTTTTGTGTCTGCTCTGCAGTTGCTGGGCTTAAAAACTCTTTAGAAATAATTCCCTTTTGCATTCTCATATGCACAAGGCATGTGACGTTCTCTGGGGTATTATACTAATCATATTCTGGCAGATTTCTCTGGAGCAGATGCAGAAATTATCATACCGTTTTGCAGGGCACATTCTTTTAGCCTCTTTAGTTTGGGCCCTGAGTCCAGTTTTTTCTTGATGCTCCTTCAGGTTTTTCCTATCCTCCCATGCTTGACAGTTTTGCCCCTGCTATCTTCTCAGCCTTCTGTCACTTACCTCCCCTTCCCACCCTGCCTTTTTGTATAGAATTTATTCTTTGCGATATGCCAAAGGCATCTATTTCACTGAAATGCCTTCTGTATTCCTCACCCCTGGGGGTACTAGAGACTCTCTTAAGACCTTTCGCAACCTGCCTACCTCTAGTGCAACACTTGGTAAACTTCCTGTTCATCCTTTCCAGTAGACACTCTCATCTTAACTACCCACCTCCTACCCCCGCCCCCAGTATCCAGCCTCGTGCCTGGCGCAAATTGAGACTGAGTGAATATTTGACAAATGAATGAACTGGATGTGATAGAGAAGAGCATTCCTATATTCTGTAATTTTTTAAAAAAGTTCTGAAGTTATTTCTTTTGAATCCCTTTACTCATTTCTCTGACTTCTTTGGAGGAAAAGTTAGAAAGGAAAGTAGAGCTCATTTGGGAGATACAGAGGGAGGTGGGTAGGAACAGCAGCCTGGGTGGGTGGTGGGGCCAGCCATGGGGTCAGTGAGCTCACTGGGGCCCATTCAGAGGATGGCTAAAGTGTGCCAAGGAAACCAGTGGGATGGAACTGGGACCAATTTGCTCATTTGACAGGCTTCTTTCCAGAGGGCAGGGAGACAAGGTAGCCTGTAGCTGTTTACCTTTGGTCCTTTGTCCAGTCCCAGGTATCCCTGGGTTTTCTTCACTCTCTTATCCCTCTGCATGGAGCTCTTCCTGAGGACCTTCAGCCTGGCCTGGGAGAATCCCAGTTGTGTCATCTCAGCTTCCCCTTTCTGCTCTCCTCTTTG